TTATAATAATTTCTCACTGTATATTCTGTTTTATTTTTCTTCCTTCTTTCTCTCCTTTTCCTAATTTAAAACGGCCCAATTACTAATCTTATATAGCAACTGAATCTACACATAAGTTATACAGTTTGATATATATATATATCATATAATTTAAATAACTTTTCTTTGAACAATTGAAGTAGGTGTACGATGTTCAAATCGATTAATTACTTATTGATTAATCTAAGAATATTTCTACGTCTTTTATTTTTCAGTGGGCTTATTTCCATGTGAGCATATATCTATGTGAGCTTTTTTTAGTGTGAGCATATTTCTTAAGTGAGCATTTTTTCATGTGAGCTTTTTTCTATGTGGGCATATTTCTGTGTGGGCTTTTTTCCTGTGAGCATTTATACCTGTGAGCATTATTCTGTGAGCATTTTTCCTGTGGGCATTTTCCGGTCTTTCACGGTAACATATATATATATATATATATCAAACTCTTATGTGGAGGTTTCCACAGGATGTCGTCTAAAGAGGTGCATTAATACAATAACTAGACCGTCAATCTCGGAACGCCTGCTATTGTTAGCGCTGGGCGAGTTCAATATAAGCAGGTTAGAGGAATAGAAAGGAAAGGTTCTGTAATGGTTTCCAACGGAAATAATTAGATCATGGAACTAGGGAAAAAAGGGATATGCTCGCTGACTTATTCCCGAACCGTGGAAAAAGTTTCACTGCTTATTTTTATGCTCCATGTTTTATTGAACATTTTGTTTAAGGACAGATTAATTTTTATCAATTTATGAAACAAAAAAAAATATTTCGTAGAGAAATACGTGTTTGCAATGTAAAATTTTATGCTTATTTAAAATCTGCTTAAAAAGGCATAACGTTTTGGCGAAATTACATAATTTTGCTTATTCAACGAAATTTAATATTATTAGAACTCTTATTACGGTAAAGTAACAGAGTATTACATGAAGTTACAATAGGTAACTGTAAGGTTTTTATTTACTTAAGGTATTGTATAAAATTTTAACTGTAAAAAAAAGGGGGCAGACAATCAATAAGAATAATAAATAATACACTTACTAACGAAACGCTAGCTACCCTCACAACGCAGGAGCCCGTTCATAGTAGGCGCTCAATCATAGTAACCACTGAGTAACAGCCGTTCATAGTAACAGCCGTTCATAGTAACCACTGAAATTCCCTATACTCAAAATCCCTTTTCTTTTCTCCTCTTAGCTCATCCCTACTTTCACGTACCATACCTACAAATCTTGGACTCTTCCAGCAAACAATAGAATTCGTTCCGGGATTGAGCACCTACTTAACACAATACGAGGGTTTCAAGAGCATTAGATTTCCAAAATTATAAAATTAAATAGCAAGCTATGAAGTACTTAAAACATTAAGTGAGAATTGAAAAAATATGGACACGGTTGTATGCCGACAAAATATATTCCTATCAGCTATAACACAGCAATTTTTAATACACAGTAGTTAGACCATTTGCCTTTCAAGAAACAGTCAAAATTCCAATAATAAGAAACATCTTGAACGTAAAATCGAAAGGAATTTTTTAACAATCCTTGAAAGCATGCGTTTTTCCCTACACAGGGTTCATGTAAAATAATTGTTTAAAAAAAGTATCATTTCCCTATATATATTCATCATATAAGTAGGGAAAGTATTTTTTAGCGATAAATTATACCTATTTCAGTATATAAATATGTTCATGTATGTTAATTGATGTTAAAAATGAGCAGGAAATTGTTAGAATTTTCCTGGGAAATGGTTAACACCGCTCTTTTGTTTCATCAGCTATTTCCGTAAAGTTTAACTTTCCTGTTGTTAGGGAAAAAAAGCCTTTCCATTTGCACATTTGGGTGTTAAGGAAAGGGAAACGAAAACATTTAATGTAGTTAAATAAAGAACAAAGATGATCCAAATTTATGCATCGAAATTGAAGCACTTGAGTCGGAACATATTTCAGGCACACATTTACCCACTCCCGATAAAAATATTGAGAAGAAATTTAGATATTTAAAAACTGTGCAACTTGCCGATTGTTATGAATTTAGAGAAAGACAGAGAAATATTAGTACTCATAGGTTCATATTATTATTATAATAATATAGTTACTGTTCGAACTACACGTCTAAACAAAAATATCGCTGCAATCGAAACAATATTTGAGTGGTGTTTACAAGGCCGAAACATGAATTTAGATGAACTTTTTGCACAGAGTGTTATGGTAAACGAATCCGGTATTTCCGAGCAACTCAAGTAATTTTGGCATTTAGAGAATTTGTGCATCAAAGCAGAAGTATCCCACGTGGAAAACACTTGACAAAGATATTATGAATGAATCTAAAACCAAAATTACGTATCAGAATAAGCGATACAAAGTGAAATTGCCTTGGAAACCCAATATGAAGACATTATTAGAAAATAACGAACAGATAGCAAAGAAAAGATTTTTGAGATTGAGATAATCTTTTGAAAATGATCCTTCCTTATTTTGTGAGTATAACACGGTTCTAAGGAATTATCTTTCTGAAAATATTATTAAACCTGCTTCAGCTGATGAAATAAATCTACAGAAAAACACAGTTTATCTATTTCATCAAGCGGTAATACATCCAGTTAAGACTACAAGTAAATTACGCCCTTTTATGATGCTTCGGCTTATGGGAAGGTCAGTTATCCTTGAACGATTGCTTACACACTACACATTGGACTTAATTTTATACCCAACCTATTTTTTCTTTTGATCAGATTTCGAAAGAATGTGATTTGTCGCAGATACAAAGAGTAATTCTAGCATATGTTGTGACGTATTTTTTTAGTAAAGTGTTACGAATGCCAGCGCTAGGCGAACATCCTCAGTAAAGACCTATCAAAAGAAGCTATCTCTGCAATCCTGAGTTGAAGAACTATCAGACAGACAAAATATTTCAAATACTACAGGAGTATATGATGATTTAAAGAAGCCCGAGTATGTAAGCCGTTTTGATGTATGGGTACTCCAAACTTTAACACAGCAACATATGCTTGCTCGAGTTGTGTCATGTAATTCTTTGCTGAAAAGAAACAACGAAGCTCCTTTTTGAAACCGTTCGTTACTGGAAATGAGAAGTCGATCCTATGCAATAATGTTACAAGGAAAAGATCACGATGTAAGCCAAAAGAACTAACCTCAGTAACACTGCATTCCCAAAAAATAATTCTTTATGTACGGTGGGTTTACGGAGGAATTGTACATTATTAATTACTGCCATGTAATCAGAAAATAAACTCGAAAAAATAATGTTCCCAAAATCTCAGCTTTGAAAGCAGAAACTGAGGCGAAGCGCTCAGAACTGATCTGTCGTCAAGGTTTTGTCTTCCATTATGAAAATGATGTGCGCCACATTTTGATGAATGCCAACAAAGACTATCTGAGTATGAATAGGATGTTTTGTGTCCTTCCCCCCCCCCCATGTTCACCAGATCCTGCTCCCTCGGACTTTCATATCTTAAGATTTATACAAATTTCTCTGTACGATCTGAAGTTCACTTAGAGGGTTATAGTTCACTTAAAGTGCTGTCGGACAGTCTCCATAGAGTATGGATATTCTCAAAAAGCACCCCAATAACTTCTTTATGAAAAGAAACATAATGGCTTTTTTTTTTTTTAAAAAAAAGGAACTTTCCAGCTACTGGAGAGATGGCAAAATATTATAGAACCAAACAGCTTATTTTTCTGACATCCTAGCAGTCAGAAATGAAAATCATCAACTTTAATTGATAAAATATAACAAACAAATAAACATAATAATACATAAATTGAGAAACATTTAATAAATTACTTACTGAAAATCATCAACTTTAATTGATAAAATATAATAAGCAAATAAACATTATAATACATAAATTGAGAAACATTTAATAAATTGCTTACTGCCTGATAGAAAGCTATACAATATATACTATATACACACATAACTATATATAGTATGATTTATGATTGATTTTCTTGTTTTGTAACTGTCCAGAATCATAGGTATCTATTTTCATTTTATAAGACATTTTATTGATTATAAGTCATTTTATTGATTATAATTCATTGCATTTTTATTCTGTGTTTTCGACAATGTAGTACGTACCTTATCTTTTTTGGGTAGTATGTCTGCCAAGTGAGAAAAGTTACTGTACATAACCTGCTTCGTCGCTTTAGCTGCTATAATTTAGTTGCTACATTTTTCGACATATGAGGACAGTAAGCATTTTTTTTAAATTTTTCTTACCCCCTTGTCCTGCCAATTGTGCTGATATGCGTTTTAAGGGGTACAACATTCAGCACAACGGCATACAGAATTGAACAGACATTGATGATGGCATCAGAGGCATTGCAAGATATCATAATTCATAGTAGGGTGGTAACTCGGTACTAGATTATTAAAAGAATTTGAGATCATAAACTTAAATAGACAGGCTTCGCCATTATGTCATAACATTCGAATCACTGAAGCCATTTGGATTATTCATTATGAACTGGATTTACACAACGAAATAGCTGAAAAGTAGTTGCCTATGTAATAAAAGAAAAATGATAATTAATTATAGGCAAAATAATTTAAGAAATCTGATATTCTGTTGCGAGTAAAGGAATTTAATATTTCTGCGAGGATGTTTTGGCATTTGACTGTGTGCGAAAGGAGCTCAGTATAGGATTTTAATTTTTAAACAAGTTTGCTTTCAGTTTTCGAAAATATTACTATTTGTACCTCAATGGTTGTTTAGAGTAATTAATTCAGGTTTAAAACTCCTATCAGCGCAGAGAAAGCTGAGTATAACTTAAATCTATGTAGTACAATTCAAGTTGTTATTAGGTCAATTCACAAATACCTCATTCAAAAATTTGTTTAGAACAAAAATTTAAGGTTATACAGAAAATGCTCAGTATATAACACATTCTAAATATATCAGTATCTAAGTTTTTTATATATTAATATATACGTTTTTCTTACCGTTGAAACAAAAACATTTTTTGCAATCATCTCTGGTTGGAATTTCGACACTATTCGGGTAAACTACCCCGAAAACCTGACAGTCTGAAATGAGATTAAATTTCAGTTTGTGAGAAAATGAAACATGATCAATGGCTATGAAAAGACGTTATACAGATTTATATTGAAAATTAAAAAATAATTATTTGACGGTGCGCTATAGATTGGCGTTAGCTATGATAAAAAATTCTATGGATTTCGAAGGCGACTGAGTGAGTCAGTCACCCTCGAAAGAACTTCCTTCTTAAGAAGGTAAAGAATTTTGTTTTTTAGTCCTTAAGAAGAGGGACCTGTGTCAGTTTGTCTTCGAAGTGGATAGCGTTTTATGTAAAATCTAATCAACATAAAGTTGTCTGGGGCCTAATTTTTATATTTTGCAACCTCTTACACATAGATGCTTCAAATTCTAAAACCTGAGAAGTCCAATATAAAAATCTCTAAAACGATGGTGCGGAAAATTTTATATTTATTGATCAAACTTTAAACATATTTTAACAACAATTGATATGTTCTGGTTTTTTAAGAATTATAAATTAAAGTGTTGATTTTAAAGTGCGTTCATTGCTGCATTTTTAAAGCAATTGTTATTGCTTTGTTTATGTAATTCGCAAATCATTCATATTATGTAATTAATTTTATCTGCATTAAAATGAAACTCCTCAATAGCGGTAATACGTCTGTTTATTTATATAATTTTAAAGAGAACTTTAAGAAAATTCAAAGCTTGAATAGGTAGACTAAGGTAAAATTTGAATAATTTTGAGTTTCGAGGGTTTCTGACCCATTACTTTACACCTTTATAGTGAAAGCGGTAGAGTAAGGTGTAGAGTTCAGAAAATTACTTAACTGTACATTAATTTTGCCTGATACCCTTCTTAGTTTTACGCCATCAACTAAGCAGCAGAACGGTATTAAAACTTTTCATATGTCATTGTTCGTTCTCTGAAAATTTTATGAGTACTTGTGGGTAATACTAAATAGCCATATTAACTATGACCGATAGGTACACTAATCATAACAAGTAATGCAAACTCAGTTTTGTTTTTTATATTGAGATTCAAAAGTTTCTAAAGTTCAAAAAGAACTTTAGAACAAGCTATATAAACTTTATTGAAACACAATAACGTGTAAACAAACAAAAAAAGTCAATGAATACGTTTAAAACTAAGCAATGAATTATGATTAAATTAAAATAGAAATTATAAATGAACATTATCGCGAATAAAAAAAAAAAGGACTTATCTAACACATAATCTCCCGTCGTTATATTCACCTTTTTTTTATAATTTTCGCTGCATGACAATGTAGGAAATCTTCAATGCGAAGAGAAGATTATTTATTTACACCTTAATCAGGAATTTTCATTCGTTGCAGGTATAACAGAATTACTTGAGCATGGTGCAGAGCAAAATTTCTGGATCTGAAGTTTAGAAGCGAAATCAGCAAAAGAGCGGAGAAAGGATTATTTTTCTAAATTTTAATTTGGCACTTCTATTCAATACAGGCAAGAACAGAATTACCTGAGTATAGTATAGACTAAAATTTCTTGACCTGAAGTTTTACAGGTGAAATCAGCACAAGATTAAAATAAATAATTTGTAATTTTCCAATATGACTGGGAACTACATAACTGTTAAAGCCTTTCACATATTGTTTGAAAAAGAAAACTTCATAATATTTTTCCTTAAGCATTAGTTTTATACATGTGCTTCTACTAATTACACAATATCTCAAATTACGACAAGAAACGTTATGAAAACAGATTCGTTACTGTAGAGAGCGTTCTTCAATCACAAAATCTAACATTTTATATCATCTTTACAGTGAATAAATTTGAGACAGCAAAGTAATCATTGTGCTTTAAAAAATTAACCCAAAATATTACTTAAACTTTCTTGCAAAATTTGGGAAGATATTCGAACAAGCTGACTAAGATCATCTTTAAATCTAAATCATATAAATCAGCTAACTGACTAAAATCATCTTTAATACCTGTTACTAATCCAATTTCAATGTCGTTCAAACAAATATATTGAGCAATTATGAAATAAAAGCTTTTTTAGTAGTTAATGATTACGTAGTAAATATATCATCACTTGTTAATAAATTTGTAGTTGGCCCCAAGAAATTATCAATCACTCGTATTTCTACGAATTTCACTCTTAAATGCATGAAGCCATTTACATACTTGTATAAAGCATAATGAGTTTTCCTTAATCGAAATATTTTGCTTCAAGTATTCATGTAGAAAATTCCATTTTATATTTAAGAAACCTACTATCCATACGACAAATACTGTTTTCATAAACTCTGTACCTCATTTTGAGAATTTTAAACTGGAAATACGTATTTAGGATTAATATTAAAATGAAAAACAGCTGTAACACATTTGTCAGACACATGGTATAATTTGCCTAAATATCATACTTATTAGTTGGAATTAATTTATTTGTAGCATTATAAACTTAAAAAATAGACATCGGGAGAAGAGCGAAAAATGAAAAAGAGTTGTAAAAAATAAAATACCTCTGCATTCTGCGCAGCAGACATCAGGTTTCCTAACTGGATGTGTGCACGGTACATCACATAAAACTCTATCGCATTTAATTGCGCCTTCATCACAGGAGCATATTTGGCAAATATCACTGGAATGAGTCCATTTTTGGCCATGTTCTATATATTGCCCATTGCTGTTTAAACAACCTGGTTAAAACATAAATATCAGAAAATCTTTTGACTTGATAAGAACAGGAAAAGACTTAATTGAACATAATATGCAGAATTTTTTCATTCGGCCTGAATATAATGTAAAGAACTAACGGCGAATAACTTCTCAAAATACCTAAACTCTTTAATAAATTTAATGTCAAAGTTCAAATTCTTAAATTGTGTAAATAACATTACATGTGTAAACATATATATACATAATACATGTCTATCTACTTACCTCTCTGCATATATATATACATACATATATATAAGTGGAAAAATTAAGTGACGTCGCTGGGTAAAAGAATGAGGATTCTTCTTTTCACGCCACAGAACATTTAATAAGTACATGAATCAATTGTTTAGCCCCCCTTGCGCTACTTAGACACAAAGAAATTTTGCATCTCTTGAGATTTAATTACGGTTATTTGGCGCCTTCTCGCGCTCACGCAATCAGAACAAATTTCAATCGTCGGCTCCTTGACGTAGCTCGAACAGTCGGCATCGCTCTCCCTCAGGTAAGCAGGCGATGTTCTCCGTGTCATGTAGGGACTTCTGGTGGCTGCAAAACTTAGCGCGGCCACAACTCGGTAACCTGACCCACGTTTTTGGCCTCGAAAGCCCAGATCAGCAGCACTGGTACATTAAGACAGCAGCTGAAAAATACTCGTAAATAAAAAAACACGAAAGGAAAAGAAGAAACGGTACAAGCTGTCAACGGTATAGACCAAGAACTTTGCCTTAACTTTAGACCACCTCCATATTGCGTTCGTTATACGGCCACTAGGTCATTGACGTTGTATTACCTATGCCTCTTCTTCCTATTGTATGTTTTTCTATTCCTTTCCTGAATACTTTGATTCTTTCTTGCTTCTTCACTAACACCCTTTCTACTTTTCATCAGAATATTTGAATTTTATTCTTGAGAATTGAGGAGCTCAAAAGCGAACTCTTTGTGATTCTGCTCAAGACCCGTTGTACATCCGGAACGTATTTATACAATGTGGTAGAATCTTCTGTGGACAATTTGGATAGGACTGGACTCAAAGTCAGATAATTTCTTTCTTCCTGCCCATTCCTTCTAGGAACGCCGGTAGTTGTAAATATATGCTGGGTATTTTCTTGCGTACAGTAGTCTCCAAAGACTTTAGAGGTAAAAGCCGTACCTTTATAGATTATTACACTCTAGGGATTACTGAAAGTTAATTGTTGCAACTTCAGCTTCTGCAGTGCCTCTTGTGTTGGAGTAGATTTCACTGGGTAGAGCCATATGAATTTTGTATACGCGTCAACAACGGTCAGACGTTGGCTGTAATTCTTGTTTATCGACAGGCTATAAAATCAGTGTGAAAAGTGCTCAAAGGAACACTATCTTTTGGTATGGGGTTCAGAAAACCCTCACCCTTACCTCGTTTTTTGTCGCAAAAAATGCATTCTACACAATTTGCGATGACTTGTTCAATTCGTCTTCTTAGAGGAAGAAAGCCTGCTTCTGTAGAAGCAGTATAGGATGTTGCCACTTTAGGTGTTAGAGAACACAGCTTCAAACTTTTAGGCTAGCACTAGTGTCCAACGTGTCGCAAAGACGTTGGATAGTAAATGTTTAGATGTCCATCAGATCTTATAGAATATCCTCTGATACTTTTTTTAGAAACTTTCATTGTTGCAGCGGTGTCTTGCACATGATTTTGACGCTCGACTCCTGTTCTCATTTCAGTTTCTTGCTCGCTTTAAGGCCAATTCAGAATGGCCTTAGATTAACTTTTGAACAGAAGAGTGTGTGTGTGTGTGTGTGATTATGGCAAAGCCTCGAGGGCTATCTGCCTAAAGGGAGGGATGCCTTCGTGGAGGACTTTCTAAGGGAAACTGGCTCGTATACACGTTACACATGGGGAAAACCACGAAAACACCCATGCAGCCAGCCCGTTCGCGGGATTCGAACCTCGGACCGAGCTACCAGTGTTCAGCGACTTTACCGCTCGGCCGCTGGTGGGCTTGAACAGAAGAGACGCATTTCCATTTGGATGGTGCAGCGAATACTCCCAACTGCCGAATTTGGGAACTAGAAAAATCTGCGCCCTATCTTAGAGTTTGCGTTGCTTTCACCAAAAGTGACGTCATGTTGGGGATTTTCAGCATCATGTATTCTCAGCCCGCACTTTCTCGAGGAATTAAAGTTCTACTGGTCCAATGACATGCTTGATTAGCCAGCAGCGATACGCATCGCTTTTAGAGAACGAAACAGTTCCAGCTCTGCCAGTTAAGCCCGCCACAAAATTTCACAATTTTCTGATTACTGGTTTTGCTTGTAGGCAGCTTTGAAATAAGATTCTTTAATTATGGACATACTGTGTGTGTGTATATATGTATATATATATATATGTGTGTGTGTGTGTAAATTACTGTTATCATATGAATTTCCCAGACGAGGTATATTTAATGTACTTAGGAATATTAAGGTAATATTTGTAACGATCAAAGCAAAATATGCAAAATATACTGTCATGTTCTCTTCGTGGCGAAATGCCGTTTGTAGAGTCATGGCTACTTTCTTTTCAAGGCACTTGCGTTTTCGGTAATATTGCTGGCCATGCAGGCCGATTGGTTATTGCTGCTTTTCTAAGATTGAACTGCTGACTATAAGCATATTCAAGTACATAAAATAAATTAATTTCTGTTGCCAAATATTAAACTTGACTTCACCTCTTTTTTAAGGCACGAAACTGCGCCCACTGGTATTGTATTTCACTGTTAGACATTGCACCTTTTATGTCAGACTTGCTCCATTTCTATACCATTATAAGCACTCTTATTACCCTAATCCTGATGTTTGACTACCTCTTGACACTGATCATGTGCTGAAAGATGGCCTGTATTTGTTCTTCCAGCGACTGGAAATAAAATTGAAAAGCTCATCGTGTGGAAGAGCTGTCTAATCAATGATGCTTAAGATGCAAAATGTCTCTGTTATATAGCAAAATTATCTCTAAAGTTCCACCTTAATTGGTTAGTCTTTCAGATAGAGACTTTGACCCTTGTTAACTGAGTGAAAAGACTGGCCAGGTTCTGTCTATTAGTGGGCTATTTAAACTAAATCGGAAACGTTTGTAAGCATTTGCGTCCACAGCTAAATTTTTGGCAGATACTCTACGCGGAAAATTTCTTTCTAGACGTTCAAGTAGGTTAAACTACATTGCAAAATTCATAGAACATCGCTTTCTGAAATTCAGGTTTTACTTCAAGTAAGCATTAACGATTTAAATATAGTTAAATTTTACCTGAAGCTTGGCTTTAGATCTCAAATTAATATCTTTAATTTCAGTTTAGTTATCATCAGTTAGTTCTATTTAAAAAAATGGACTTTATCAGACCTTTACACACTGGACAGCAAGATCCATACGGCAGCTCTGTAGCAACGCAAAGAAGTTTGGGACACGTTTCTCGAACACAAGTGATGTCCCCCTTTCTGCAGATGCATCGTGAACATGGATCACCTGGAGGAGAGAACTGCATCTTATCCAGAACAACATGGCTATTGTACTGGCAGTCTGAAAGTAAAATAGATATTTTAACGCACCTATCCAACAGCAATTATGTCAGTAAGAACAATGAATCTTTTTTTTATTAAGAAACTGAAATGATAATTTATACTGAGCATTATACATAAAATGAGCAATAATTAAAAATGTGAATTATATATTAGACACTGCAGATGAAATGATAACAGTTATAAAAAGTATTGAAAGACAATGTTATACTAAGCGTCAATTTGAACACGAAAAGATTAAACTTATACCGCGAACATTAGCTACCTTTGTCATTTTACAGTAAATTATTTCGTTTCGCCTTTTGGTTCATTTGATTGTGATAAAGCACCCGAAAACTATGTGCCTAAAGGCAGGGATGCCTCCGTAGGGAAACTGGCTCGTGTACGTGTTACACATGGGAAAAACCATGAAAACACCCATGCAACTAGCCCGTTCGCAAGATTCGAACCTCAAACCGAACTACCAGTGTTCAGTGACTGAAATACCAGTGACCGCCCGCTCTGCCGCTGGTGGACGCCCACAGACAGAAAGAGTTCATTTTATTATTCACGAGAAGCTAGAAAATTGAAATTGATTTGTAAAAGATTATTCGCTATGTATATTAAAAAGGCTTTTATTTTTAATTTCAAGTCCCAGGTAATGTCTGTTTTATTATTGAACTAAAAATCTAACTGTATATATTGGATCTGACGACCATGTAACAAATAAACCATGTTTCAATTTACTTTCAAAAGGGAAGGAATTAGATTTTTAATTATTTCATATCAACAGTGAGCAATGTCTGCGTAAAGTCGAGATGTTTAATGTCGATAAAGTTTTGTGCTAGATGTTTTAACGGTCTTTTTACAGTTGTAAAATTTAAAATATCTTTTATAGGAAATTGGGCTGTCTTGGGTTATGGCGATTTAGTGAGACTATTCTTATGTAAATTTCTGAGTGTGCTCAGAATGTTTAAAAAATCTCTGATTAAGAATCGACATGACAATTCGATTTTAATTATAGTTAGGTGTTTTTATAATGCAAATAACTCCTCAGCTGCAAGTTGGTAACAGATCTAAGAATACGCATTATAGACATCTGACAAATAAGTTAAATATAACTTTCAAAAGAAATGTCATAGCAGAATAGGTAAGTGAAATAAAAGCAGGAAGTGCGGATATAGAAAATTCGAAGTCATTGGTGTGTTTTAAATAAAAGTGCAATGATCTCTGTAGAAGTAACCAAATCTATATGCCCAAAATATGTGTATATTTAAAGATATATATGTATTTACCAATGCATGGAGAACAACATGCTCCAGCTGGTATAACTCCATGCGAGCACTTTTTTTCGGAGCAAATTTCTTGGTAAGAGCACATTACAGATCCATCCTAAAAAGAGTAGAGCTTCCAGTTACATCGCATAAAATAGAACTCATTGTAAATATTTAAAAACAAAAGTATATATGCTATTTCAAAATTCTTAAAGAAAAATTTTACAGCGAGAGATTTTTAACATACTAAAACTGGACAAATTTATTAAATTATGAAATCTTATTTACTCAAAAGTACACTTACGAGACATGTGCAACTTTTGCAAGCATCATCAGAAGGTTTCCAGCTCTCGCCGTTAAAATATTCCCTATTTTCATGAAAACATTCTGTAAAAAAAAAATTCAAGTTATTTGCAGAACTGATTGAAATGTTTACGTAAAATTAAATACTGTAAGCAGTATATGGTAGAAAAGAGCATATCTGAATTTTGATGCCTATTGAAAAAAGAATCGATGAACCTTCATGTTAAAAAAATTGTTTCGTATTGTCAAATGAAAAAAAATTATTGTCATTAAAACATGATTTTTATGAAAAAATATTTTATTTTTAATATTATTACATCTTTATCATAATAAGATGATAATTGTGATTATTTTCTAAAGTTTCATCACAGATTCATGTACTGAACTGGAAGAAGCTTTAAATGTTAAATTAGTTTCATTTTTAAAAATCTCGTTCAGAACTTCTGAATCTCTACATTCGATTATATCCAGGTGGAAAAAAGATAGCTTTCATCAAAGTTTGATTTGGATTCAGTAGTAGAAACTATTAGTTTTTAGGAGCCGAAAATATGCACATTCATCTACTGCCCTGGCGGGAACTAAACTGTGGATCTTCATTTGCTATCTCGAACGCTATATCATTAGGGCAAGAAAGGAAGGAATGACATATTATTTACAAATCGGAGCCTAAAAATTTCCCAACCGGAGCTGAGCAATGATGAAAAATGCTTCCTTGTGGTCGTTATCTTACATAGTGATTTTAGATTTGGTTGACTTTTGCTTTTAATTCGCAAGATTATTTAGCAAAAGAAATTTGATTTCTTAGATCGCTCGTTTTCTGCATCATACGTGCTCAGGCTGCAATATAGCCTGAGCCCGTATTTAAACATCAACTGAGCTTTCTTGAAAACTAAAAATACTAAACTTCTATATCTCTTTGTTTAATATTTGCATCCTTTTAATTTCATGTTTTTCTGTTTAGTACAAAGATATACATTAAACGCCTTTTAATAAGAAGCTATTTTGTATAGAATCGGATAACATGGAACAAGAGGATGCAGTAGTTATTGCTTCAACTTTATCTGTTTTTTTTTCAATGACAAACTTATATCGAGCAAGTGTCCGACCACTAGACTGGATAAGAGGATTTGAAAAAGTCAAAAGTGCAATGTTAAAACGAAAAACCAAATTATATTATGATAATTATAATGGCAGCAGTGAAATAAACAAGTTGATGAATTTCCTAATGCACTGAAGACTTTCAAACAAATAAGCATTATAGTATCTCTGGAACAGAACAGCAAAACCATGAAAGTAAAATGAGAAGTTACACTTATAACTCCAATGGGGCAAAAAAACATCAATGTCATTTACTTGTAAAGAACAGCAAATAAAAGTTATGATAGGTGGATTAAATAAGGATGAATATCTCTCATGATTATTTCACTCACAAAAGTCAGATGTTCCATAAAATAAATTTGAATAAGATCGTTGTTTTTAAACTTCTTTTAGCTAAGAGCAATACCAGTTTTACAACTAGGCTAAACTAAGTGATCGTCTAGGAACGCCAAGATACGGGTGCGCTTCCTTTGCTCATAAATTAAAAATTGTAAATTGTTTATTCCTTTCTGCTGTTAACTTCCAATAGAATAATGCTTAATTTAATATCATCTGAATAAATAAACATAATTCAAAGTTTAATTTAATTATAAAACAATAAAAAGGTAGCATTTTCTGTGGTACAGAGGACATTTTAAAATGTTTCCTAAATATTCTCGAACAGAAAAAGGTAAAAAATGAAACAATTATTTCATCTTTAAGAAGCTGAGAATAACCGTTTCTGTGTCTAAAAGCAAAACCTCACACGTCAGTTTTGCATCTGAGCTTGCATCGTCAGCTAAAAGAAATATATAAATGGCTACATCTAGTTCAGCTGTAAGTATGAGGACAAAAGTTTTATGTACCACTGATACCTCCACACAGGTCCCGCTTAAACTGAACTCGAAGGTCACCTCAGCTAGACCTTCACAACATTGATGTTCTGTACTCCTTACAGGTGAGTCAACATTTAGTCTACACGATGAATTTCTTGGTTTACTGGGCTAGTGAAGGCTTGTAAACTACTATTAGGAAGCAAATACGGAAAATGTATGTTTGTTTACAAAGACGCTGCTTTGATGATTTGGGCAGGATGGCTGTTGGCAACTGCGCCACATTTTCTCTCGCAGTTCCCTGTCTGCAGGTGTGATATAAAAGCCATATCCTTATTGGGTATGTCGACTCATTTCTTGTGGCCATGTATCTTCATGCCACTTTTAAGAACGACAACACGTTAATACGCACAATTCGCTTTGTTGGCCACCACTTATAGGAAACGCTTAGAAGATTTAATTTCAACTTCACGATCCCCCGAAACCTTTACAAGCTCAGCATATATTTGCTTCGCGAACGGGCATAGATATCCTCATTTACCGTAGATAATCTCATTACTATAGATTTACGTGAATCAACGCTCTTGGGATTGCTTCTCGAGTAGAAGTTATCCCGTTAAGTTTTGACAGATTTACACCAATAAAAGTTTTTTCAGCCCAGATTCAAAAGGTGTTTTTTAAATCTTCTGTTATTTAACTATTTATTCACAATTTTGTTTTTCATTTCTCCGCGCTAATATCTTTTGTTATAACTAGTGATATATGACAGCTTTAATGAATTCGATTAAATGCATTTCTTTTCATCCTGTAAAAGCAGAGAACTTTTATCTGATATACACGTATTTGGGCAATTAGACTTAGAGTTTCCACGTGGTTTCAGAAAGAAATCCACGTGGCGAACGTTCTGGAATGTTTCTTTTCCAGCCAAGCTGTGATGTCACAAGGCCAAACGTAGATATTCTATAGTGTACGAGTATAAAAGAGGCGCGCACATTGTTGTATAAGAAGATTTTGCTTCTTGAAATATTCGTTCGCCTAGTTCCTGGGAGCAGTGCGAGTTGACAGGATATTAATGATGTTTCTTTGACGATTCTGATTGTTAATAGTTTTTTTGTTTGTATTTTAGTTCAGAAACATTCGTGATAGTATATGATATTACAAAACAGTTGTTTCACTTCGTTGGTTAATTTTTGCATTTGAATGTAAATTTGCAACCTGCTCACAGGTATATCCTGCTTGCCAGTAAAAAGATAGGGCAACCACTTGCAAAATCGCTTTCTGAAACAAAGATCTAAGATATCAGTTCTCAATCTGGTCCTCAGGGGCTCTTCGATATTCACATAAGCGATATAGAGCTATTCTCTCCGAATTTTTTTTACCAGCTCTCCCGTCATCTAGAACTTTCTCAGCATCTTTTACTATAACTTAGTTGGGTGGATGGACTCACTTGGCGTGCGTCATATTGCCGGGAATCATTTCCTAATTTAAAATAGCGCAACATCTGTTTTAAACTGCAATAGTGGCAAAAGGAGGAGGTATATTTCTCAAATATGTTGTTAAATTCTTCTAATATTCTCTTGGATTTAGCACTTTTACAAAAATATATATACGTGCAGCCTCAAAATTTATCCTATTCAATGCGTAAGTTTCTAGCATTACGAATATCTTTGACACCTTTCTTTTGCGCGTATCTGATTACAAGAGGGAGATTGTTTTTGACTTAATATATTAAAAAATACATAACTTTGAAACATAAAACAATAGTGAGCACATAAGCCTTCTCTTAACATATAAAGAAGAAACTGGCAAAACATACTTGGACACATCGGGCAGCATCCACCAGGAGGAAACACAGGACGTTCGCAAGAAGTATCAGGTTCAGGGCAGGTAACAGGAAGACAACGTACAAGTCCTTTCTAAAGACAGTGTGCAGTGAATATTAGCTTTTGCCCAAATTCAGCGTAATACAGAACAATAATAATATTACGAGGGCAATCCCAAAAAAAAAAGGTCTTCTCTATTTTTAGATATACAAAGAACCGTTTATTTTCTATAATTGCTACATCACTAAAGATTGAAGAATGCTTTATTTTTCAACATAATCGCCATTTCGGTCGATGCATTTTTGTAGACGTTGTGGCAGTTTTACAATGCCCATGTCATACCCGCTTGCCGCCATGCCCTTCAGGAAGTGTTGAGGAGCTTCAGGAGCATCCAGATGATCCTCCGATCTTTACGCATTTTACGAACTCAACAATCGCGAAACTCAACGAATACGAACTCAACAATCGCGAAAGTTGAGTTCGCGATTGTCTCGTCGGCAATTGACGGCCTCCCGCTCCTTTCTTCGTCATGAATTTCAGTACGACCGGCTGGAAACTCTCTACACCATTTGCGAACGTTTTTGATATCCATGCACGACTGTCCACCCCCCCCCCCCCCCCCCCCCCCCCCCCCCCCCCCCCCCCCCCCCCCCCTTACACTTCCGTCAATAGGCGGTAAATTTCAACCGGTTTAACGCCTTTTGCGTTCAAAATCGAATAACTGCCCGCACTTCGCACCTGGCGGTAACGTGTATCGGGAGCTCCATTTCGAATGGCTGCCAAGCCAAGACTGAGCATCCGAGGGAAGCGCCTGCGTGCTTATGTGGTAGCGGAAAAGGCACCACTCACAACAGTGTTGCCAACAACCATATTAAAATTTTCTCTACATCCCCAAAAAATAGGAGACTTTTTTTGGGATTGCCCTCGTATTATGATTTGTTTATGCATATATTCGCATTATTTCAGGATATTTTGCAAGATAGTAGTGATGATGCTCATAAGCAGGTAAATGAAAAAAAAAAAAAAGAACGTAATATTTTAAATCTGAAGTATAGAATGTTAAATAGAAAAGGAGCTGTATTTCCGAGATATATTTTTCTAAGAAAGATCTCTGCCCTGTTCCGTATAGGGGTTAGTGCTCCTCGCTGCTTGCGCTTGAATCCAGGGGAAGGACTTGATGTTTGCAAGTGCATAGTGTCTGTGTGGCATAGGGTCATTCAAACTAGGAAAAAGCCGAAAGCCCTTTCAAGTGGTTTGTTGATGCCATCAATAAAACTGCCCGGCAGGCACGATTCTAATTATATAGATCTTTCTTTCTAATTCTGGTGTTGTCTAACTATGACCTGATCAGTGATCTACTCATTAACCAATTAATAATTATTCCTAAATTTTGAAGAGTGTCCATGTGGATGATATCATTTTAAAAGATCCTCGCCAAAGTATGATGAATTACTGAAGAAGATTGCATCCGTTGAGGTTAAATTTTCATCTCAGAACCAGTTTTACAGTTGTAGAGATTTTTCTCACAGCTATAGCCTCCTTCCCATACACAACATAGCTTAGCCTCTGAGGCTGAGAATTTCTCGTACAGGAAATGTCAGAAATGGAGTTAACTCATCATTTCATGACAATACCCTAATTGCAAAAATCACACAACTTAATGTGATTTGGATACACGATATTACTAGCTACATTTCGATAAACAACTACCCGTCTACACCACCAGTAATATCTTGCAAAAAAAATCTTAAAATAAAACGGCATGAGATCATGGGGATCCACCCACTATCTAAAATTAGGCCCACAATTCCAGCACTTAATATAAAGTGCCTAAAAGTTTTACGTTATAATTAAAATTAACATAAATAAAATGCATTCACTAAATGCAGCAATTTTATGTTGACAAGGCCAAAGATGAGGATTGCTGTATTCATAAACACTAGATTCATCAACTTAATATGGCATTTAAATTTTAAATAAACAGCTGTTCACAGTAATTTGATACATTTTTGGAATCGTGCAATAATTCCTTCAAGTTTAACTAACCAACGCTTCAGTTTATTTCACGTACACTAAATCTCCATTTCACAGCTAATTTCAAAATCTAATACTATTTTTTTCCAAACAAGGCCCTAATATATAACCTTAATACTATTATCATTAATTAAATAAAGTAAAATACTCGAGGACTGTATGCCTAAAGGAACAAAGCCTTTCCAGTGTACTTTTTAAGGATATTGGCTAATATTTACCACACCCATGGGGAAACTACAAAGATTCTATTTGGTCAGTTCGTGCAGTCGCTGGAAAGCTCGGAATTGAAGATAATTACGTCAAAACAATAAAAACAGTTTCTCCAATAAAATTGCTGCTTCAGTTCAATTTACATTAATTATTTAACAGCCTATCATTTGTCGAGTTATTAAACAACCTGACATATTTATTTGAATTATAAAACTGTCATATTTGTTTGTCGAGGGTAAGAGGTAAACTAATTCAGCAATAATAGTCATAACCTGATTACCTTGCAAGAGCAATTTAAACAAGGATTGAAAGCTGGCAGGAAAATGCTTCCATCTTTATATTCTTTTCCATCATATTGGCATCCTATAAATCACAGCATATAAATAATTTTAACATTCACATATATAAAATAATAGAAATGGATGCGTAAGCTTTGTTGCTCGGAAAATTAAACTGCATCGGAATAAATGCTTAATAATGACTTAATTGCATAGCAGAAATTAAACACCAATCAACAGATTAAGTGTTTTAAGGTGTCCAAGTATGTCCTAATAGTCGATTTTGATGAAATTTTTCCAAGACATTTTTATCACTGTATTTTGAAACTTATACGTTAAGCTTATCAAAACTACTGTCATATATGTTTCTGCTGTAGTTAAAAGAATTATTCTACTGTCTGTGCTGCTGTTAAAATAATTCTAATGTTCTTGTTCTACGCTGTGAACCGAATGCTTTTGTTTAAGAACCTGGAATGTTGATGTCTAAAGGTACAAAGACTACTCTAAATAACTTTAAAATGATAATTTTCATTTGCTTACTTTTAGTGATGTTCGAAAGATGATTTTAAACCTTTCTATTTGTTATTAAGGGCTCGGTAACGAGATTAATTTTGCAATTTAATTTTCATATTTGGCAACATTTTCTTTTTCTTCTGTTTGTGTTTGCGTTTGCGTTACATTAAACGTATTTTTTTAAAAACTTGATTTTTTTTCAATTTTTCTGTTACGAAAAACCTTTAATTTACGATATTACTACAGTAATATTATGAAACTTTCTACAAATATTCTATGAAATGCTGTGAATTAAATGGACTAAAAGTTTAGGATTACTTGCATATATAAAGTTTTTTTTAGACAATTTTGTAAATGAAAAGAGAGAAATTTCGCAAAAAATAGCTAATGAAAAATATAAAAGTAAAATCATGATAAGTATTTTTGTGGAAACATTTCTAATAATTATGAAATTTAACATATTTTAGCCCAAAATATAAGAACAGATAAAAATTATACTTTGATAATATGTTTATCACCTGTTTCTATTATTTTAAGTAGTATTCTTCTACAGAACACAAATAATAGATTTATTTGTACTATTTTCCACAATTTGAGTGTCTAAAGTAATTAAAAATGCATGCACTTTTAATTTTTTAAAAAGTGATAATTTATTCAAAGAGTATGTTTAAAATTGCTTATTTCGCTAACTTTTGCAGCATATTCCTTTTTCTTAATCGTTGAAATAGTATTGATAATATTTATATTATACTACTGTTGGAGTAAAATGTATGTATTTTTGAATGTTAAGAGTTCGCTGATATCCTGATATAGATAGATAGGAAGAAAGTAACAATTTATAATCAGAAAGAAAGTAACAGTTTATTGCAAAAATTCATTAAATAGAACACAATAAATAGTTGTAAATTTGGATAGAGGACGCGGATATATTTTAGCTAAGCAATTATACAATTTCTCGCATATTAATCATGAGAAATATCGTCATTTCCTCAAATCACTCACACAATAAACTCTAAATTGTAATTCAGCTAACTCTCTTTGAACCGCTAAATTACACAGCTGATTAGCGACTAACTAGCATTAGCTTTCGAAGCTGCATTTTTATAGTCTAGCACGGGCATAGGGAAGTTTCAGAAAAAATCCGACATAGGACTTCGAAAATATGTTTTCCGGAAACTTCCAAACAGCCGCCAAGTTAGAGAGAAATCACCGCCGTTTCGTTAAAGCCCGTGGCAACATATTTGCTCATATATCGCGTTCTATTTAAGCTATTTTTAGAATTTAAAAGTTATTGGGCTATGAATAAAAAGATCTGTGATTCTATATATGAAAAAAAAAAAAAAAACCTTATATGCAAAACGTGTGGTTTCAAATTCGATTAAGCAGAAAATAAACCCTAAATTAATCATTCTTAAAGCAGCAAATAAATAAAAGTAAAACAGTATACAATATCACAATAATGCAGGAAAGCAACAATGCAATCAAAGAAAATTTGAGTATTTACAAATATTTAAAAAACAGTATGATTAAAAGTGCACACACCTTGATTGCAATTTGTGCAGCAATGTTCATATTCACTTCGAAGAAAATTGCACAGGGAATGAGAACAGTCAATTTTATGGCAGGTGATATTCCCTTTCTACTAAATAAAGAATAAGCACTTTTAGCTAAGCAATACTAGTATTTCTTTACTTCAATGATGAGTTAGGCTATGTATATAAAAACGGGTAATTGATTTATTTACTAATTTATGCACACAATGTTTTGGCACGGTCTTAGTTATATACGTTCTCCCCAAATTCCCATGCTTCTAAACATAAATTTCCAAATGCTTTATATTAGGTAAAAAATAAAAAATAAAATAAAATAAGAACAGCAAAATAATATTAAATTAAAACTATAAAAGTTGTAAATTAGTAGTAATATAAGATACTGAAGATAGGGGCAGTGTAAATACTTTTTAAACATTTTAAACATAACTTCATTTCTTATAATAAATAATTTTATTCGATGGATTTCTTTTAAACCTATGAAATATTAAATTTAACATGAATTTCAGTACAAAACTTTAAGTTAAATACGTTATCTGTAATGACGAAATTACTAACAAAAACTTGCACTTCCTTTCGGTTTTCAGTGTGTGCTTGTCCTTAAAACACCTTTTACAGTATGCGCTGAATTATCCTTTTATAACCTTCAGTGCTAAAAACTTAGCATTTCTCGGAACTGTGTATTATACATACTTTCATTTATTATTAAATGATCCAGCTATAATAGAAAAGGTGTCAGATTACTTCGATTCATGGCAGCAGTTATAAATTTCTGGAAACAATTTCCGGCAGCTATAAAGTTCTGAAATTTATTTGTGTGCTGGAAACAAGATTTAGAAACAATTACTGGAGAAAATTCCGGTGCGTTGCGGCTGAAACCAAGGACTGATACTGTTTCTCTACATAGTAAAAATTCTCGAAAAGTAAATTTAAGAAATTGACATATGGAACTGAAACCCAAATACGTTTTTGCTTACAAATTTTTTAAATAATGCTGAATTAAGCAATACTTATATCAGGCTCAAATAAAATAAATGTTTTTAAATGTAAAAATAGAAAAAAATATCAGAAGTGTTTAAAATGACAGAACAAAAATTCTACATATACGAAGAACTTTCCTTAACCCCTCTTGTAACTTTTTCACTAGCTTGCGAAGAATAACTGTTTCGAGAATAACTGTACGTCCTAATACTCAGAAATCCTAATTTAATATATGTACTCCCAAAAGAGCTGAATAACACTAATGATGTTGATATGGAATGCAATGATAATGGTGAAATGATTTAGATCCCGGGATTTTTTTAAAGAGAATATATTCCTGATATATATGATACATGCTTTTAGCAAATGCACCTATGCATGTAACCACTGAGTTAACTCCATAATAAGGAAACTGACTTCAAAAGTTTGAAATGGAATTTTAACAAGGGATTATGAAAGCTAAAGAAAAGAAGCAATTGCAAATTGCCATGCTATGTGGGCATGAGAGCCAGCGTGTGAAAGATAACCGTTTCTAGCGCAATGATACAAAATAATGGAAACTCTTGAATTAACTAAAAGAGAATAAAATTCATAGCCTTGAAGAGATGGAACGCATATGATCTAACTAAACAGTCTTCTTTAATTCCAAATTGAAGATTCTCCAGCAATTAGCAAAAGTAACTACAGTAAAAAACCTAGATTCGACGTTACAAGTAGACGCTAATTTCTGATGAAGTATGAGGTATAAGTGATCATTCTGAAGAGTTTATTCCGCAGTATTTGTATTCTGTTACATCTCATTTAGTAGCAGTTTCCATCTCCGATATTGCGTATGTATAACAACAGGCATGAACGATAATTTAATGACAGGCATGATATGTCTTTTACGCCATTAATCTATGTTCAAAGTCGCTTTCGATCCGACCAGGTAGCAATTGTTTTCGCCAGTAATACGTACGTAATAACTGGTCTAATAACAAATATATAATACGCATTACGTCTAAGTTCGAGTCATTGTCGTAAAGGACCTTAATCTTGAAAATGGTTTAATATGCTTCTCGTATCACTCATTGGTAAAATCAGTAAAATCCAATAATCCGGCATTTCTGTTTTGGCATACCGATGATCTTGCATTCTTTTCATTTATGTTCCTACTGTAAGATGGCGCTACTATCATTAGTAATATCCGGAAAGGCTCGGTGGCTAGTTCACACGTTTTTGCCTTTTTCTGTTAGTCCTTTACACCGCTCGCCATTAAAATTGCAACACCAGGTAGGAATCATCTGACGAACATCAAAATCACGTGAAAGGAAGAAGAGATTGGGATATGCAAATGATTAGTATTTCAGCGCATTTAGACGATGCACGAGGGAGAAACGACATCTGAAGAACTGCATAAAAGAGAAGTTGTCTCGCGGATTCCTCACTTGAAAAGCGCTTTGAAAGGTGATCGGTGTCTGCTCAGAATATCGTGTTATGCCTCGAATAATAAGAAGAAATGCTTACCAGCAAGTATCCGATTCGATAGAGACAGGATCGTTGCCTATCGAGAGTGTGAATATCGTTCCGTGATATCGCGGTCGACATCCAAAACCGTCATACGAATATGGAATCATTGGGCTCCTGAGGGTCATACTGGACGGCATGGAGAATCTCAACGCCCTCCCATGACTAACGCCAGAGAAGATAGACATATTGTGAGGTCAGCCCTGCAAAACCGTACGACCACACCGCGGACCATCAGTCAGGAAATGGGCATATTTTGCAGCACGTCCAGTATCAGCTCGTAAAGTGCGTCGAAGTTTGCAGCAGCGAGGACTATCAGAAAGACGACCATTACTTCAGCTTCCCTTGACAATGCAGCATACAGAGAGACGGCGACTTTGGTGCGCCGAACGACAAAGCTGGATGCAGAAGTGGCACAATGTCATCTTTTCAGGCGAGTTCCGGTTCTGGGTGCAGTATTCTGATGGTTGTATATGTGTCTGGAGCCTCCGAGGAGACTGCACGTCGCTTATATTCGATATCGGCATAGGGGCCCTGCACCTGGACGCCTATTCTATGATCACTGGATCTGTCTACAACTTGAATATGAAAAAAATCAGCGGCGAAAACATATACAAAGCCACTGTCTACTTAGTACGTCAACTGCACAACCCTGATTGACGACGCGGCAACACTTTTTTGCGCGCTTTCTACAAGTTCCGTACTCAGAGAATATAGGATGTCGGGCAGACCTGTTTTTCACTAGCAGCGACATCTGGCGGCCCACAACTTGCTGTCGACTCTCGTAGCGTAGAATAACCGTCCTGGGGTGAAGGTTTAGGCAGCCTTTGGGTACACGCATGCTCACCTCCAGTTCGGATCGGCTTTAACTAACAGTAAGATTATCTCGCCAATTTAAGGCTACCATCTCTGAAACATAGTTTAACACGTCACCAACAACTGCTTTTCTCAGACTTAATACGACAACCCTATTACATTCTATTACTGAGCACATATACAGTTCCGGCATTCCGTTTCAAACTTTGCAACTAGTAATTTAATTTTAATTTACTTTCTCGCGTTGTACCTTAATTTGTATATAAGTCACTACTTTTAATTAAAAATAAAAGAATGTATTTATTTTTCTTTTAATTTAGCTTTTGAATCTAATATAATGTACTTAAAATGTACTTATTTGTACATATTTCTATTAATATCTTCTTCCATATATATTACTTTGTGCAGATTTCAGTGGTTTTTTTAATTGTTTTTACAATATTATGAGAGTGTCGGGGAATGTTTTTCCTAAAGTGAGAATATCGTTTATTTTAGTTCTTAACGAGTGCCTTAAATTAAAAAGAATTTATCACTCATTTTTATTTTAGATTTTGTTTATGACAAATATTATGGCTTAAGCAGACTAATTTCTTTCTAATAATAGAGTTTTGTTCATAACTTATATTCTAACTCTTGCAAAATAATTAATTTTATTCTTACTTGGAAAAAACATGAAACACTCTCATTTAATTTGGTTATTGAGATTTAATAGTGGATTGGTTTGTTCCCCCGGACAATTCAAGTAATCTACGATCAATGACACCACCTTTTAAATACTTTAAATTTTACTTTTTATTTTTATTATTTAAAATTTTTACTGTTCAAAATACTATTTCTATTTAGCTTTTTAATAATTTTTACTACAATATAAATCTAAATAACTTTAAATGTTGTCTTAAAATACTGCTTAAATTACTGACTAAAATTTATTCCAATAATTCTTCGTTTTAATTAAATTTCTGTTCTTTGAAGATGATATACGAAAGAAACTTTTCTAATAATAATATATATATATATATATAAGTTACATACTGTTCTACATAAAGAGGGCCTTCATTGAAAACTTTCTAAGAAAGTTTGGCTTGCAGTTAAGCTGTGCAGGAGGAAAATCATAAAAATAATCTTGCAACCAAACCATTAGTTAGGATCCAAACCGTGTCGAACTACCATATTCAAAAGTCCTAAACATGCGGCTGTTGATGAACCAATGTTCCGTAAAAGCTGGTATTTCCCTTTGGGGCTGAAACCTTGTATTTTCTGGATTATAAAATATCACTTAACAGTGCTGAAGTTCATTTGCTTGTTTTGAAAGCTGAAGCATTATTTAAAATGAAATGAAAAGTTAGTATTTTATTTCCTTTTAAGAGTTGCTTAAAAAGCAAAATACAGTGAATCCTTGCTCTCTCCTCCCGCAGAGGACATTTCTGAAAATATTCAATACCTCTGAAAATGCACAAACATCAATATTGATAATTATACTAATATTCTGTAAGATGGCCGCTAGTTCCTGGCGCGCTAGTGACGACACAAAAAGCAAAAAAGGAAGGACACAAACAGTGAGACAAAACATGTTTTATTATGTTTAGTACAGCAGAAACCTACAAATAAGAACAAAAACAAACAAGAACTGTCATTAAAGAAGGTGTTCGAAATTACGAACCCGGACGTGATGCAGGCCCCACAACTCCGCATGGAAGATCAGCATCACGAATAGAAGATGCATGACGCGCGGTGAAGATGCATAAAACGGTCCGGGTCGTAATTTCAACACATTCTTTGATGATGATCGTTGTCTCTTTATGTTGTTTTTTCTTTGTTTTGTTGTACTACGAATAATAAACATGCTTTCCCACCCCGTTCATATCCTTTCTTTCATGACTTTTGTATCGTCACTACCGCGCTAGGAAAGTGTTTCCGACCATGCATTCCTATATGACTTCCCATCGTCTAGGTGTACTCTATCTCTCCTGAAAGTTTATCTATGCTGTACTGATACACCCTGTATATACCCATCTATTTATTCTGGGAGGTAACTTTAAATTACTTTTATGGGAATATACTATAAACATTTATGAACATTCTTCAATGAATAAAAAACGATTAAGAGATCTTTCAGTAATAATATTAGAAGGGCAAAATGTGTGTTTATTGGACATCGAAAAGTTAATTAAAACGTTTTCTGCTCAAAAGGAAGGATATGTGAAGATTTCAGAAATGTAGGAAAGAGTTATCTAACGAGAAAAGAAGTCAAGAAACAACAACAACAAAATTATGCAATTATATAACAAAATTAGGATGATAAAAGATAAATTGTATGAAAAGTAATAAAAGCTGAAAAATGAATCTGATTAAGCACTTAAGTAAATGTGTAATGTATTGTACAATGAGAAAGGATCAGAAGAAGTGTGACTGAACTAAGCTTATTTTTTATAACTTTTAAATTTTCCATGCAGAAATTCTTAAATGTATTATGAATTTAAGTTTAGGGAAAATATACCATACATTTCGCTTTGTTTTGCTGAAAATAATATGCAATTCGCTTAATATTATATATGTGTTACATTAAATTTTTAATACATTTATGTTCTACTTGACTATTGAAAACTGCATTACTTTTAAAACTATTAATATGCAAAAAAATTTTACATATATACTTATAATCTTTTGCTTTAAAAATAAAGTGATTAGTAATAATAACTTATTAACAGTCTGATCAGGCCACAGAAAGTATGATTTTAAAAGACACCCCATTAGGAAGCTTCCGTGTCTGAACTCACGGGAGGGCCGCCGAAATTTCTTAAGGTGGCCCTGTACACAGCATTCATGTCAACTAGTAGTACATGTTTTAAAGTACTAAATACTATTGTAGCGACTAAACTGCTCAAAAGTTAGCAGGTTTGGATTAAAGCCAATAAATTTATAATAATTAAAAAACAATAAAGCTTATTTATAACGAAAGAGGTTTCTTTACAGTTTTCTTGATATTAATGATTTTTGGAAATTTTAAAAAGAGCCTGGATTCAAAACAAGACAGATAATAAAAAGTAATACTGTTATGTAAATGCAAAGAGATAAGTGAAATAAATAAATTAAAAGAACCTACACTTAAATAATTGAAAACAATTTTCATTATGAAACGGACAGAAATCTGCATCAGTGCAACACTGTTACCTGACATTTGCATTCCATGCACCTTTCAGGATAGAAGAACTCTTCATTTTTGACGTAGCTTCCTCTATATTCACAATCTAAAATAAAATTCAAATTTTTACGGAATAATATTTGTTATCAAAATATAGTTGACTAATAAAAAGGAAAACTATCTCTATTAATCCATCTAAACGCTGAAAAACGATATGGATGATATGAATAGTCTTACATATGACACATTATATTCTGAAATATTTTAAATACCAATATTTTTTCTTACAACTTCGACGTTTCCAAGGATACAATTAATATTATAAAACGCAATGATAAAAAGAATACTATTAATTTCAAAATAACGGAGGGAAGGGAATAATAAAAACTGATAGTCAAGTATTTATAGTCTTATTACAATATTTATTACAGTATAAAATATTTTTTACGGCAGAGGAATATTACTTTGGTCTTGGCATGCTGCCTAATTTTCCTGACGATTGATTTGTTCTTTTCTTCTTCAGTGGATCCTAAATACACCTGCCACTGTAAATGTTTGAATCATTAACTTCTTGTACTGTCATTCGAAAAGGTCGTTTTTCGTCTCGCTCGGAGCGCACACCTGCGTTTATACGACTGGGGATCACACCTGCCATTCTGCAGATAACAGCTGCTATGCCTGTTTACAAGCAAGTATAACTCGTTAGATCGCTTTCTTGTTTTTGAAAGTCTATAGAAAAGATTCAGGGTCTTTTAATACCTTACAGCTTATTTAACTCTCTCATTTTCCTATGTGCACATGACATTAAGGATGTCAGTTCTTCTGTTCAGCTAGGTTCTGCGTTTGCGCATATAGCGAACATGAATACCTCTACTACGGCACCTGATACTTCCAACAGCAATTCCACAATTGTGACTTCTGAACCGCAATTAATTCATGTTTTGAGTAATAAAATTACTCTATCTAATGATGCCTCTTCAACCAGACAAATTGTCATTGATATTGAAAATGCTCTGAATCAAACACCTTCTGAACGTCCAACTGAGATTACAAACGAACTTCACCTTTTATTTGCAAAAGCAATTAATAAACTTCGTGAACAAGAAAATGCACAAGCTGCTCAAACTATCAACGAGCTTAAAACTAATAATGATCAACTTCAGAAACAAATTCAAAGCTTAAAACAATTCTGCGAATCCATACAAAATGGAGGATCTTTTTCTAAACAAAGAAAAAGACATCATAAACGCTCTACCGACTCTTCAGATAGTGAAAATGAAGACAGTACTTTGAAAATTAAAAATAAATTTCAACACTTGGAATCAAACGATGATACCATGCAACTTGAAGAATCTGTGGATAATGTGAAACCAACTATCAGTCAGCAAGGTACAAGGGTTTCTACATCCAAAATTAATATAAAGAAACCATCAGAGAACAAACAATCAACAAAAGGACAATCTCGTAATAGCAACAAAGTCCCGCCCATTATAGTGGATAACGTGACTAAAGCTGACGAGTTTCTTGCTAATTTAAGCAAACAAACTGGCAAAAAGATTATGGGAACACTTAAAAGGTGAAAAATTACATATTGAGCTCCCTAATATTGATACTCACCGCTACGTCTGAAAAATAATTGAAAAAAACTAAACCAAAAGCTCACACTTTCTAACTACCAGATGAAAAAGTGCTCAAAGTCGTTATCCGAGGTTTACCAACTACGATGAACACTAACTACATCGTTCAAGAATTAAATAACCAAGGATTTAAAATTAGCTATATAACCTTAATGTGTAATAGAAAAGAAAATAAACCAATGCTGCTCTTTTTATTATCTTGCTTATGTTATACATGCTCCTGATGAACCAACACATTTTGTTTACCATAGCTCCTCCATCATTGACGTTTTTCTTTCAAATAACCTCAGTTACAATAGTCAAACTTCTGTTATTCCTGCTTTATCTTCTGATCATAATCCTATCTTGCTTGAAATTAATATCAACTGCTTCCTTCCTGCATTAAGTCACAGCATTGGAATTACCAACTGGAATAAATATTCTCAAATTCTGACAGAAACTATACCAGGAAATCCTTACATTAGCAGTAAAGAAGCCTTAGACACGGAAATTCAAAATTTTAGCAATAGTGTTGAACAAGCTTTAAGTTCTGCTACCAATAAATTCATCAGTAATCATCCTTTTCTTCCTCTTCCGAATAACATCAGGCAAAATATTAAATATAAAAATCGCATCCGGAAATTATGGCAATCTACCGGAGACTCAAGAATTAAAGCTCACTTAAACGCTCTTCAAAGGACCATTAAAAAAGATATCAGGGAATTCAAAACTCAACGATGGAGCAACTTCTTAAACATTCTTGCTACTGAAGACAATTCCCTCTATGACATTGCTCGTAAATTCAAAAAGCCTTTCAAGCAGATTCCTCCACTTCATGGTTACAATGGACTTGTTTATTCTGATGAAGATAAATCCAATACTTTCGCTGACATTCTTGAAGATACCTTTACTCCCAATGCTTCTCCATATTATAATGATCATATCACCTGTCAATAGCACAGTATATTCTTTCCTTAATAGCCCTGGACCACCTAATTTCACCTTTCTTGCTTCTCCGAGAATTTGTTGCGGATTTTAATTAGCTCTTTAAAAACTAAAAAAAAAAAAAAGCTGCTGGATGTAATGGCATTTCTTCCAAAGCACTCAAGCATATCTTCCAATTAATGCAATTACGTGCTTAACTAAAATAATTAACTCAGTTATCAAACTCTCTTACTTCCCAAAAGTATGGAAACATGCAGCTGTTGTTGTCTTCTCTAAGCCTCATCAAAGTTCTACTTTTCCTCAAAATTATCGGCCTATCAGTCAAATTTCTAAAATTGCTGAAAAAATTATGTTTTATATTAATCGAATCATGCCTCCTACCTCTTATACTCTTGATGAACAATTTGGATTCAGACATCTGCACAGCACCAATCATGAGCTTCTCCGCGTTATCAGTTACATTACTGATAGATTCAATTGCAAATTTCCTACCGGCGCAATTTTCTTAGATATTGCCAAAGCCTTTGACAGAGTGGGGCACCAAGGACTTATATTCAAACTAATTTAGCTCAATTTTCCGAACCACTTTATTCGACTTATTGCCTCTTACCTCAGAAATCGAACTTTTGCTGTCAAAGTTGGAAACACACTCTCAACTAATAGAAATATTACTGCAGGTGTCCCTCAAGGCTCCGTTCTCTCTCCTTTTCTTTACAATATTTATACTCAAGACATTCCAAAAGAATCTCATATTACTATCGCCTTATTTGCCGACGATACCGCTATCCTACCTCAAGCTTCAACTATCAATACTATACAAATTTTTCTACAAAACTATTTGGAGCTTCTTGAAAACTGGATGACGCTGTGAAGAATTGCCGTTAACATTGAAAAAACCAAAGCCATTATTTTCAGAAAAGGACAAACAAGCTTTCTTCCACCTGATCCCATCTTCTTTGACGACGAAATTCAGTGGACGGATCAAGTGAAGTATCTCGGAGTCAGACTTGACAAAAAAACTCACTTTTCGGCAACATTTACACGAAACTGTCAGGAAATTCAATATCTCAATAGCTATTATGCGTCCTCTCCTCGGCAGACATAGCAATCTGACTATCAACAATAAGCTTATTTTATACAAGTCCATCCTTAGACCTACTTTACTTTAGCGCCAGTCCGGTATGGGAACATGCCGCTAAAACCCACATAAAAAAGATCCAAGTTATTCAAAATAAAACCCTTCGTGAAATTATTAATGCACCCTGGTTCATTCCAAATTCATATATTCACAGAGATCTTCAAATTGATACTATACAGAATTATATCAAAAAACTTGCAAGTAATTTTTTCCTTTCTGTACTATTACATCCAAACAGCTGTATCAGCTCTTTGCGATGCTCACCTTTTCCTAGAGCAAAACACAAATATCCTTCGGATATTCTAACCTAACATTTTGTTAATTATTTGAAGTACCTACTACCTTACTGATGCAACTTTTTTTCACATTGTTGTTTTATTTTCATTAATTTCATCTTTCTTCGCCGACTGATGGTGGTTAAGTGAAATATACCATTCTACCATCTTGATTTTTCATGCTTTCCTTTTGTTGTTCCAGACATTCTTTTATCTGATGCAGAGTAAAAGCGCGCTGTCACTCTCTTTCCATTCGACACAAGACAAGTCTCTAATTTCGGATTACACGAAACTCTGTTTCATCAATAATGAGAAAAATTGTCTGAAAAGACAAAATATTTGTACCAAGGAATGAGGGGAAAAGTTTGCACTGTAATGGGGGAATTAACTCTTGCTTTAGCTAAGAAAGCACAAATTTCCCGAAACTACCATGAGAAAGAATTTTTTATTATTATTATTTTAATGTCAAATGCCATCGGTACTTTATACCTAGATTTATGTACTTTTAATATATTGAATACGTTTTAATATGTACGTATATGTACATTCTCAAAGACATCACAAAAAATATTCTAGGCCGTATATATGGCCTTGCCGATCAGAGGAAATGTTACCCTCGTCACTTATACTCTGATGACAATTAAAATGCAAGGGAAGTAGTTAATAGAAATACAATATTACAATATAATAGATGTTTATTGCCCACCTTTTTTTCAATTCAGTTTTTCTTGCTTTCTTCCGTAATTTACTTTTCAGACGGTTTTCATGTTTATTATTATTATTAAGGCGTTGCCAAAGGAAGGGATACCCCGTGGGGAAATTTTGAAAGAAATTTCTCGTGTCCACGTTTAGCCAAGATTCTAACCCCCAGACCGAATTATCAGTGTTCAACGATGTTACCACACCGTCGCTGGTGGCCTGGTTTTCATATTTTCTGTCACTTTTCTCGATGTTTACTTTATCATGTACATTGCTTTGTCCCGACTAATTATGGCTTATCCGTTGTTCGCGTGTCTACAGTTTCTCAGAGATTTAAGTTTGATTCACTCTAGCGTGGCAACTTAAGTGAATGCAAAGAGGTATCCGATCGAGAATAAGCATGTTGATAAAACACGAACATTCTGATGCTTTT